ACAATTAGATGGCATAAACCTAAACATGGAATGAAGGTAGCGTATACTCAAAGCCTCCTATTTATTTTGCTATTAGTTTTTAGTACACGGGCCAGCTTTACACCACTTCAACAAGGAACTGGACACGGTATGAGTAAAGGAAAGCAGTGCTGTTTAGCTCGCGGTCTGAGAGGTTCATTGGCATAAGACTGTGTCAGCTCAGATCTGCTGAGGGCTCTGTGGCAGACGGCAGATGGCAGATGGTAAAAGCGTATGCTGGAGTGAGCAGTCATATCTCAAGCTAGGAAATAGAGATATCTGGGAGGTCCAGGGTGTTTCCTTTTGTCACCCCTCTCTTTTGAAGAACTATCAGGAGGTCACATTAAAACTATATGAAGGGGTCAGATGGGAACCTCCATGGGATCATGTGAGAATGACTTCATTCACCAATGACCTCAGGACTTCCTACTAGGTCCCACCTATTAAACATTCCACCAGCTGCTTGGGGACCATCACCCTGGGGATCAAGCCTCCTATCACATCGACTGTTGAGGGCATTCAAACGGTAGCACTGAGGTTATCTGTATCTACGTAATGTTGCATATACATTGTATGGAAGAGAAACTTCATAATGTGCTACGGACATCTCATGACTCTGCCAGTGATAGCATACTGGTGGCTCAAAATTGATAATGGTGAGTAAATTTACACAAATCAAGTAAGAAAAACCCACAAGCTAGGGCTTCTTTACCTCTAAGAAAGTTACAATCATTCACTAGCATATCACGTTCCCTTCCTTTCCCGGGACCCCAACTCCAAGAATAACAATTAGAAACTGAGGCATTCTTTTTACTTGATAGTTATAGGTCAAGAGAAAAAAACAAAGGTGGTTAAAAGTCAAGTTAGTTTTATTTGTTTTGTTAACAATCTAACATGTAGTTAGTAGTTCTGACACAAGAATGGGGAAGGTTGGAAAGAACAGGATCCCCATCCATCCCCATGATGCCACTCAGGAGCCATTTCCCAGTGGAGTGAAGTCTGACTGCATCTCTTGGCTCATTCTTTATTCCTGTTTCCCAGATGGACAAGAAAGCACACAGAGAAGGCAACAGAGCTGTTTCCTTTTCTCTCCAGGCAAATTTCTGAATTCTTCTAGAATTGGTTCTTTGCCCTGGAAATCTCCTGAAGGCGGTGAGACTGGAGACTCTAGCCTGTCCACTTCCACCTGGTGGCCACCGCCGGAGTCCAGTGGCATCCTCTCCCAGGTTCTGGGAGAGGCAGTGTCAAAAGCGGTGGAGACCGAGTTGTATTTCAGACGGCTTCTCTCTTCTGACTTAATTGCTGGATCCAGAGATACCTTTCCTGTATTACCTCCCCTCCCCAAAGACATATTTAGTTATAACTACAATAATTTCAAGAAAGGGAAAGCTCCCTGTCTCTTCCATCATAATTTCTAGGCACACACTACTACATCTTACAGAACATATGTATACTCAGAGGAGTTTTCCATCCAACCTGTCCCTACACTTTTTTATCTAGACTGTGCTAACTCTTGCTGGGTGATCATTTGCACATGATATCTTAAAGGGCTAGTTTGGAGTCAGAGGCAGACAGGAGGAGGTTGGGATGGGAGGTGCTGTTGGGGTCCTGGGCTCATTCTTAGCCCACACGTGCCCATCGCCCCCTCAGGAACTGAAGAGGAGCGGCGGTCTGCACTGGTCCTCTCCTTTGTCTTCTGTGTGGCTTCAGCTGAGCAGTTCCTGTATGCATGCGCCTCTTTCTTCTGCCTTGAGTCAGTCTCAAAGGCCGACACCTCCCTCCTTCTCTGTACACGAGCTCTGGTAAGATGAGCCCCTGGGCATCGTTTGCAGCAACGGATTCTCATGTGATTCAAGATGTTCTTTGTCTGCAACGTGATTCGTGGGACTTCGGGACCATCCCCTTGTTTTACTCATTGTCTCACTTCTTATCAGTCTCTTGGTTTAACCAGCTGTGCACTATTCGGGAGTGATGAGCACCATTGCTTCAGGATGTACTTTACAATATGATCTTACGGTTTGGACAATGCCTTCTTTCTTTTCTTTTTATTTCCACATTAGTAAGTTTTTGAGAAGAAGAATTAAACCTTGTGAAGGAGGGGCTTATACTCCCTATTGACCTAGAGAAAACTGTCATAGAGAGCAGAGGAATAACCAGTGGGCATCCCCAGAGTTAAACAGAAACAGCCACCACACCTCACAAATGTCAGTGATTTTTACGAGTTTCCAAGCCATATTGACCTTCAGGAATATTTGTTCAATGTTATGTTGGATGCATCACCTGAACATCAAGGGCTGAAGTCATGAAAGCCAGATAGTTCTTTTGACAAAGCCCCAGATGCCAGGGGTTACCCAGACAAGCCTGAACCTCTAACTGAACTTTGAGTGACTCTAGCCTTCCTGGTGCAGGCCTCCCCCGATGGTGATGTTATGACTGCTTTCAAGTCATTAACTCTTCTCCCCTGGAAGGAGCCACGCTTCTGTTATCTTGCTAGTCAAGGCATCTTTTATTGGTAGGACCATGTGTTCTAGGGGTTTATTTAATGACTTGGAAGTAAAGCTGGACCTAATAGAACCCAGAAGCATCATACTCATGGGTTAGTCATGATTATTTGCCCCCAAACAGAGAGCAGGAGGCACCACAAAGAACACAGACACACAGGTGCCTCAGCATGGGACCTGACAGGAGCTTTGTGGCAGCTGAAGAGGAACTTTATTCCAATCATTTAAGTAATTGCCCATCTGTCCACGGTCACTATATGGAATCAAATTTTTGTTAAGTCTTTTCTGAGGAAACTGGCTTCTAGACTGTCTGCCTTGAAGAACTCTCACCACGTAACTGAGGGGGCAGATGGGAGCCACCCACCTGTTCCCCACTCTGTCTTACTGCTGTTGGAGGAACCTCTCAGGAAGTGGCACCATAAAGCAGTCTCCGGGTGTGGCAGCCCCTCTTCGGTCCTTAGGATACCCCTGGAGGTAGGCAGGCGGCGAGTGCCATCGTCTGCCTGTAGACGGAAAACTGAGGTATAGAGAGGACAACAGACGGTGATGACGCAGAAACTAACTGGCAGAAAGAGGAAGAAAATCCCTGGTGTCGGGCGCCTGTGTCTGTTTCTTCCAACATAGACGCCTTTTGGTGGGGAAGGCCAAAAGGGATGAGGTGTGGGCAGTGACGCGAGGCACTATTCGTCTGAGGGAATACTTCATGTACACTGACGTCCAGCCCAGACAAGGAGGCCAGCAGCCCTCCCCTGCATCTCAGCAGCTGCTTCCAAGCAGAACTGCCAGTGCCTTCCTTCCTTCCTTCCTTCCTTCCTTCCTTCCTTCCTTCCTTCCTTCCTTCCTTCCTCCCTCCCTCCCTCCCTCCCTCCCTCCCTCCTTCCCCCTTCCTTCTTTCCTTCCTTTCTTCTTTTCTTTTTTAATTTGGTCTTAGTTGAAGCACTGAGGATTGAACTCAAGGCCTTACACTTGCCAGGCAAGCACTCGACCACTGAGCCACACCCCTCTTGTATCAGGTCCTAGTTGAGCCCCCCCCCCCCCAGCACAACTGTAGAGGCAATAGGGCGGCCTATGAGGGTCAAGATTCCTCTGGGTTCTCAGGCTTGGGATGTTTGCTGTTGTTCTCACCGTGCATGACAAGGTCTGTGCTGGACTTTATTACCTGGCAGCGGTAAGATTTCAGCGGGAACCAGAAAGTCACATGTTGAGAAGGCAAATGCTTCTTCCTTCTCTTCAACTGTTTATTCCTGATACATTTACTCCACTGAAAGTTTTTTTGCTATTTTGGTTTTCCAGATAAATATATAGTTAATCTTTCTCTTTTAAATGCAGATTTCCTAGGCATAATCATATAAAAAAGGAAAACAAACCTTTTTGTGAATTTATGTTTGAAACTGCTTTGGCTTAGAACGTGGCACCACGCAGTAAGAACGTTAACTTTCATAGGGCGGGACAGTTTTTGGAGGCTATCCAGAATAAATATATTGAAATGAGGGTGCTTTCCAGAGTGTTGAAAAAGGACTTTCCCAGATGATGATGATGGACTTGTGGTCCTGGGTTCTATAATAAAGTAGGCTGGACAAGCCATGAGAAGCAATCTAATAAGCAGCACCCCTCCATGGCATCTGTATCAGTTCCTGCCTCCAGGTTCCTGTCCTGTTTGAGTTCCTGTCCTGACTTTCTTCAGTGATGGATGACAATGTGGAAGTGTAAGCCAATAAACCCCTTCCTTCCCAACTTGCTTTTTGGTCATGGTGTTTCATCACAGCAACAGTAGCCCAAACTAAGACAGTAAGTTTATGGTTGTGTGTGGAGCTACATTCATAGCTGTCCTGGGTGGGATGCAAAGCCCATGATGAATTTCTGCCTCTTTTTATAAGAATCAGATAGGTAGGTATTAAGGTCACCATTACTTGATCTTATCTGCATTATCTATCTATCTATCTATCTATCTATCTATCTATCTATCTATCTATCTATCTATTATCTATCTATCTATTATCTATCTATCTATCTATCTATCTATCTATCTATCTATCTATCTATTATCTATCTATCTATCTATCTATCTATCTATCTATCTACCTATCTATCTATCTATCTATCTATCATCTGTTCTGGAAATCAATTGAGTAAAATTGTTTCCTGTGTGAAATATGAATGTGTACTTTACATTTTTCCCTGATTGGACTCAGTGTTTGAGGTGGGTTGGTTTAAGGCTTATAGGGCATGAGACCTATGTGATTCCCCTTTAGTCTCTGTCCCTAGTGATGCAGCGTGGACTGGATACTGACTGAGTATCCAGTTCGTAGGTAACAGAGTAAGGTACTTTCTTCCCCTGTCAGATCCCCACTGATAGCCTTTGGTACCCATTCCACCTGAACAAGGCTTGTGAACTGCCTCCCTCAGGACAGGCCTGTGGGCAGACATCCCCCAGCTTGGAGCTGTTTCTGCTCCCAGTCCTGGTAAAAGGAGATGCAGATTTTAGGCTGAATACTGATGACGGAAGAGGAGAATTTTTAAAAAGGATTTTTGTTGCTTCAGGGAAGAGAACTGCAGTTGGGCTTGAAAGCCTAAAGCCTTTTCATTTTACAGGGAGAGGTTTGATAGCTCTCTCTTTCTCTTACTGTGCTCAGGGCAGAATTCTTGCAGACACAAAGGCTCTGTGGCTTTAAACCTGGAGCACAGTGACCCATCAGAATGGCCAACAAGAACTCTGGGCATCTCCTGGACTGATGACTTAAAACATTTCAAATTGATAAAATGAGGTTGGGAAACCACAAAAATAGGCCAAGACCATAAAAAAAAATGTGAGGCAAATCTGGGCTCATTAATGTAAACTGATATTGCAGATTGATACCCCAACAGGTTAAATTTGGATACATTGCATTTGGTCCACATATTGTATTTAAAATTATGTTGCTGAAATTTCAATTATAGTTTGAATTTCTGGTTTCTCTTAAAAAAAAAAACAAAAACAAAAACAAAAAAACAAACACCCACAGATGTCCAAGTATCCAGGAAACTATTGTCGGGAAGCAGCCAGATGTTGCTCCCGCTGTCCAGCCTTCATAGCCCTACCTCTCTTTATATATTATATCATAGCATATGAGAGCAGGGCCACTTTAGCTATTTAAATGACCAGCCTGGATCCCGTAGGCTTTTGGGTTTGAGATCACTCATGTAGGATCGGTGGCTTCTGCTAGGGAAGTGCTGGGTCAGCGAGCTTGAGGCAATTCTAGTAAAAGGTTATGAGGTAACCACGATTCTGACCTGATGGTTTTCCACAGAGAAGTGAGGAGGAGAGCAAAGCCCCCCCCACCCCCATAGCAGTTGGGACAGAAGACCAGGGCAGGCACAGGAAACTGGAAACGTCACTAGGACAGTGGGTTTACCTTGGTCGTCCATACAAATGGGAAAGGCAGTCTCCTAGCCGTACAGCATGCATTGTTCTAGAACAGCAACTAGGGGCGGGGATGACCCACGGGACACGGAAGGCTCCAAGTGTATTGGTACCAGCTGGCTTTTTTTTTTTTCTCTCTCTTTTTTTTTTTTTTTTTTTTTTATCTCGGTCTGTATTAGCGGGAGGCGGGTGTCTTTCTTCTGCACCACTTCATATGGTGAGATCATCCGACCTGGCCCTGCTGCTGGCTTTACTCAGCCTGCTCAGGGGCCTGCTGTCATCGGTTGTCAGCTCCGGACAGAGTGAAGGCACCTTCTCGGCCGACAGCCCTGGCTTGGCTACCTTTTCAGCTTGCAGCTCTTCCTTCTCGCCGCCGTCCTTCCCCACTCCAGGGGTCTCCGCTTTCTCCCCATCAGGCACTGCAACCGGCTCCTGCCCTTCTGGGGCCATCTTCTCGGCTTCCTGCTTCTTCTCTCCCACTTCGGGCTCCACAGCCTCCTCTACCGGCTGCTCTTCCCCCTCCACTTCCTGGGCCCCCACCTGAGCGTAAGAAGGCAGGGTTTCTTGGTAACCCCGTGACATATCTGCCAGGGGTCCCGTGCCGATCTTCTCCTCGAACTGACTGAAGGGCTTGGCTGAAAGTGGGCTGGTCTCCACCATTCCAACTTCGGTCAGAGGGAAGTAGTGGGATACGATCTTCTCTTCTTCCAGGAGCTGGTAGCCCTTGGCTTTCTGGATGGAGGAAACCGCAATGGAATGGAGGGACTTCTCAGGGATCTCCCCGAGTGGTTGCTCAACGGGCCTCTTGAAGGCAGACCGGATTCCCTTCATGCCCAGGTGGCTCATCTCCATGACGTTCAGAAAGAGGGACACAAAAGCAACGGACAGCATGAACAGGATGAAGATGGTCTTCTCCGTAGGCCGGGACACAAAGCAGTCCACCACGTTGGGGCAGGGCCATCGGCTGCAGCGGTACAGGGGCAGGATGCGGAAGCCGTACAGGAAGTAGTGGCCCACGATGAAGCCCACCTCGAAGAGGGTCTTGAAGATGATGTGGCAGACATAGGTCCTTAGCAGCGTGCCCTCCAGCCGGAACTTCTTGGTGCCCTTGCTACTGCTGCTGCTCTTCCTGATGCTGGCCTGGTCCGGGGCGATTGGTACCCTCTCGCCCCCGTTGCTGCGGGACTGCTGACACAGCTCCTCAGCTTCACGGTCCTTCCGCTTCTCCTCCATGCGGACGTGATGTACCGCGTGCCCCACGTACATCAGCGACGGAGTGGAGACGAAGATGATCTGCAGGACCCAGAGGCGGATGTGGGAGATGGGAAAGGCCTCGTCGTAGCAGACGTTCTCGCAACCTGGCTGCTGGGTGTTGCATACGAAATCAGACTGCTCATCGCCCCACACAAACTCAGCTGCCGTGCCGAGGATGAGGATTCGGAAGATGAAGAGGACCGTGAGCCAAACTCGGCCAATGACGGTGGAGTGTTCATTCACCTCCTCCAAGATGTTTCCCAGGAAACTCCAGTCGCCCATGGCTCACCACCTAGGAAGCAGAAGGCAAAACCTAAGTGGCCACCGTGTAACCCCGGGGATGACCTCTTTCCCAGCTCTCGGAGTGCCCTCCTTTCCGAGCCGATGGAACCGTCATGGGATAAACAGTCTCTATGGAGTGCCTCGTCTGTGTGGACTAGGGCTAAGGGACAAAGGGATCTTGAAGTGGGTTTAGTACTAATCTATAAAGTAGTGCTGCTAATAGTATCTGTTCTCATTCACCTCACAAGTAGCTTGAAAGGATCCACGAACCAGTATCTGTATACATCCCCGAATTTACTGTGATTTACTATGGACCAGAAGTAGAAAGCTATGGTTACATGAATTTAAATCGAGACCACACGGAGATGAAAGATTCATGAATCATAATACTGAAAACAATCCCCTCTACTATGGGTTCCTGGGCTCCCAACAACATTGTTATGTGAATGAAATTGTAAGTAGCCACTTTATGTTGGGCTATTTTGGAATGTGTAATGATCGCATACATGAAAAGAAGTGGAAGAGAATGAACAATTGTCGGACACTTTCAGTTGGACAGACCTTTGATGTTGCTCTGTTTCTGTTATCTGAATCTTGTTAGACGTTAAGCTCTGGGGTGGTGGGTGTGCCTGTTGCGTTTACTGCTGCGTAGCGGATGCCAGCACACACAGCCCGCACAGGGGACTTTACACGAGGGTTTTCTAAACCAACTTGCTTTCAACAAACGAGAAACACAGGGGCTTCAGAGGCTAAGCAGATGGTCTTAGATCAGACAGCAAAAAACACTAGCAGTTCCGTACCTGATCCCAAAGGTTTGAGTCTCAAACCATTAAGAAATACTGCCTGCTACATGGGCTACACGTTTCTCTGACTTCTATAGTCCTAATTTATGCTCTCTTTTCTTGAGGTTGAGAGCTAGAAACCCCTCTTAATAGTTTTACAAATCAAGGGCAGTATATTTTTATTATTACCCCTTTAAATTCCAAGAGCAGAGAGAGTGCTTTAGGAAGGAGTTGTGTTACCGGAAGTCCGCTAGGACGTGTTCAGTGTTTCACAAAACGACTGGGCTGCAGGGTTAGTTACAGGTGGTTGTTTAAACACAGAAGTTTGATCTGTAGGGAAAAATACTATTAAACACAATGATATGTAATGTCTCCAGCGTACCAGGGGCTGACGGGGAGAGGGTTGAATTGATGGGGAGGGTGTGTACACGTGGAGGCTACTCATTCAGGACTACGATAAAAACAAAACCAACAAAACCTCCCACATCAACTTAGGTCAGTTGTCCCTCCAAGCTGAACCTCTCTGGAGCTGTGGAACTCACTCATGTCTGCCCTTAGATCAAGGAAATAGCTCCTGTTAGAGGGCCCTTCTCTGGGTTTCTGCTGGCCATCATCAGAAATAAATGAGAAACATCGCGATTGGGTGATCCATCTGAGCATCAAGTCTGCACACGAGACAGACCCAGGGAGGTCAGTTTCTTATCAAATAGTTCAATCTGTTTTCTCCTGTAAGACAAAGCTTTAGCTTTGTCTAATCTGATAGCTTATTGTTACTGTGTACATAATCTTACGATCTTAGAATAGACTATTCTTCAATCACTTTTGGCTTTCTCTTCCGTGACCCATGACAGCATAGAACAACATGCTTCAGAGCGTGGGTCCTCCATAGATGCCAGAGGATGGGGCTGAGGGTGATGGTTCTAAGATCTGAAACTCTCGGCTCCCATAAAGACAATTATGACCAAATTTCAGGGACTTCCAGTCTTCTTCTACATAGCGGAAATGAGAGTAAGGACTCACAATAAATAATAAAGTTTATAAAATTTAGAATAAAAAGGAGAGCTTTCAAGGAAATAAATGCAAACACCAGGGAAAAAAAAGAAAAAAGAAAAAAGTAAGATCATGCAAACTAGCTCTCTCGAACCAAAAACAAAGGCAAAATAAACCTTCCCACAACTGGGGAAGAAGGTATTTGTTTTGGGAAACATCGGGATATAAATGGGTAGACCAGTACCTTAACTCACAGCGTCATGGTACACGGTCCTGGCCCAAGACCTTCCTGACAACTATGCCAATAATTTCTAAATGAAAGCCTGAGCAAAGCTGTGTCCTTTGTAGCCCATCCTGCTACATTAGGATTGTTTTGAATTTTGAAAATTTTCCTTATGTTTACTCAAGAGTTTTGTGCCAAATTACAGGCAACTGTCACTTAGGACAAAAATCTTTCTACTGGCCTGCCAGTGAAACAGGTCACTGTTGCTGTCCAGAGAGAGGAGTTAGAGAAGCTGGGGGAAGTGTTTGGGTTATTAAAATATGTTTGTGTGTGTGTGTGTGTGTGTGTGTGTGTGTGTGTGTG